TTAAGTCTCTCTCTCTCTCTCTCTACATCCATCTATCTTTGTCAGTCTCAGTATTTTTAATTTTCCAACAACCTTCCAAAGTTTCAGTTTTGATGCTTTTGTGTAGTCTTAGATGCCATCTATCAGTATGAAAAATAACAGTTACAATTGGATGAGCTATAGCATTTGAGTGCCTACAATTGGATTTGCTGACCATCCTTAACCAAGGAACTCAAAACATCTCATCTGATTTTGACCATTTCATTAAGTAAGATTAGACCTGTTTATTGAATATTGGAAAGAGATAGAGGGACTATAGGTTGGATGGGCCAGCATGGTAACTTTTGGAGAAGTACGTTTAATGTTAGTTTCAGCAATAATATAATAAAGAATTTTGTTAATGCCATACTTATTATTTTCATAATTGAGGAAAGTGTATAATTTTCTTGCCCACATGCAGTATTTACAGTTTTTATTTTTTTGCAATGCTGAGGACCAACCTCAGTGCCTTGTACCTGCTAGGCAAGCACTCTTCTATTTAACTAAATCCTCAACCCCTATTTACAGTTTTAAATTTTTTTTTTAATTTAGGTTAAAGAAACTTGTGATTCGAATGAATTTTCCTATGCTAATTCCTTGAATTATTAAAATATGTTATATAGAACTAACTTTTTTCTCTCTTTCATTTCCATACAGGAACAAGAAAAATATTAATCCATGTATTCATTGTTACCATTTTTAACTAGTGTTTTGACTGAGGATTTACTGTTGACCAGATTTCTAATTAAAAATGAGTACAATCTTTTATAGGAATTACAACTCTTGCAGTCTGGTAATAACAGATCTAGGTAAGTAAACAGTGAAAATCTTATATAAAGATCTAAGTTTGGTTGAGAATTTACTATGTTTATCACCAGTATGTCTTTAAATTTAAGCAAAGGTAACACAGTATTATAATTTCTCATACCTCTGAGAATTCAGTTAACTGTTTTGTTTTTGTGGTATTAAGGACTGAATCCAAGGCCTGGCACATGTTAGGCAAGTGCTTTACCACTGAACTACATTCCCATCCCTCAGAATTGAATTTACCTGTAAGTCAGCACACTGTTTCTGTGGTAATTTTGTTGGAATCAGAAGTTAAGAACAAATGGAATAGTCTTTGTAAAAACTCTTGTCATTGAGGAATGGCTATTTAAGTAGCAAAGACTTCCCTGGAACTTCTCACTTCAACTAAATGCTTAGCCATGCAACATTGTCAGTAAGAGAAGGATATTTACCTTAATTATTTATTGCCATCTCTTTTTTTGTTGTTGTTGGTCGTGGGGCTTGAACTTAGGGCCTGGGTGCTGTCCTGGGCTCTTTTGCTTAAAGCAAGTGCTCTACCACTTTGAACCACAGCTCCACTTCCAGTTTTCTGGCAGTTAAATGGAAATAAGAGTCTTATGGGGACTTTTCATCTCCTGCTGGCTTTTAACCAGGATCCTCAGATCCACTTATTGTCATCTTTTATTTGAGATACCATGAGCAACTCCCAGACTAAAAATCTATACATATAAGCTTTGGGCATACTTCCTTTAACTTTTTAAACAAACTTACTGACTTACATTTACTTTTGGTGGTACTGGGGTTTGAACTCAAGATCTCGTTCTTGCTAGGCAGACAGGCGAGGGCTCCCAAAGGCACTGCTTCACCCCCACTGCAGTTATATTTTGAGATAAGAGCTCATGCTTTTTTGTTAAGGGCTGGCTTGGGGCTAGTCCCCCTACCTACACCTCCTGCATAGCCAGGATTATAGGCCAGCACCACCATGGCTAGCTAAAACTTACTGAATTTACGATGCCTAAGTAAGATTCCTAGAATTAGTGAATACAGATCTTTATCATGAGCTCTGTTTTTATCTTTACATATAATTCTAGACTTGAGGTAATAATTTAAAAAAAGACTTATAATATTTTTTATGTGGTTAACAGAAATATATTTTACAAACTTATGTTACACAGGTTTGTGCATGAAATGTTTCACAATAAAATGATATACTCTAATCTGCTCTGTTGTGGTTTATCCTTTTTATTAAACAAACAAACAAAAAAAGATCATGACCCAGGAAATTTGTTTCAGTTTGCATACCTATAGCCTTTTCTTTTCAGGTAATGTTCCTCAAAAAATTCATCTCCTTATATACCCAATACTTGAAACATTTTAAGTCATATACAAAAGCGTGTAACATCAAACATAATTTTGTTACCTTTATAATAGTATATTCTGTTTATTCAAACATTGTATCTTTTGCCTAGTTGACATTAAAAGTTCCAAGGCTGCAGTTCCAAGGATAGCCAGTAAAGAAAGATTAAAACTTTAAAAAAAAAAAAGGTTAAAACTGAAAAATAATGATTAGAAACTGTATTTGAGCTGATTTGCATTTCATTGACCTGCATATTAACTATATAGAATAGTTTTTCTGTGCAACTATGGTGTTTGGCTTCTTACTATCAATCTCTATTTAACATTCCTGGGCATGATTTAAAAGCTTTATGTAGTTGATTTACAGGTGTGAAATATAAGTTGGGAGTTAGGCAGTGTGGGGAAGGCTGTGTTCATCAGTACAGGTAAGAGAATTGGTTGCTTTTTTTTTTTTTTTGCCAATCGAGCCACAACTCTACTTCTAGCTTTTTGCTGGTTAATTGGAAATAAAAGAGTCTTGGATTTGTCTGCCCTAGCTGGCTTTGAACCTCAATCCTCAGATCTCAGCCTCCTCAGTAACTAGGATTACAGGTTTGAGTGACTGTCACCTGACTGTTTTTTATTTAGTTACACTTAAACGGAAGTTCAGTAATGTTTCTCTTTTCTGGTATTGCTATAAGTTGTGTGTATGTGTGTGCGTGTGCACACGCACACACGTGCATATGTGCATGCTGGTACTGGGGCTTGAACTCAGGGCTGGGTATTGTCCCTTAGCTTTTTTCCTCAGGGCTAGTTCTCTACCACTTGAGCTGTACCTGTACTTCTTGCTTTTTGCTGGTTAATTGGAGATAAGAGTCTCAAGGACTTTCTTGCTTGGACTGGCTTTGAACTAATATTTTAAATATCAGTCTATTGAGTAGAATTATGGTGTGAGCCACGGGCTCCTGGTTTCATTGCTTCAGGGCCTTGCATTTATGCTTGAACTGGCTGTACCATGATCCTCCTATTTATGTTTCTTTGTTAGGTGTGTACCCTCCTACCTAGCTTTATATTGGTTGATATGGGGTCTTACCAACTTTTTCCCCCAGCTGCTTTGGAACTGCCATCCTTCTAATCTCCACTCCCCAAGTAGCTAGGATTATAGACATGAGCCACTACCTTGACTTACATCTTTTTTTTTTAATTTGTCTGAGTCTTAAAAAGTATAAATTTAAATAGCATCATTGTAAAACTTCATTTTTAGAAAATAATAATATGGCAAGATCAAATCCTTTCTCTGTCTCACTTCAGGTCTGAAAGCAGCAAGTAAGTTACAGGCTAAGTTCTGTTTTATGGGTAATTGGAAGTGCTAGGTAGTCATTTTTGTACATTAAAAATTATGTATTTGGGCTGGGAAGGTGGCTCAGTGGTAGAGTGCTTGCCTCGTATACAGGAGGCCCTGGATTTGATTCCTCAGCACCACATAAGCAGAAAAAGCCAGAAGTGGCACTGTGGCTCAAGTGATAGAGCGCTAGCCTTGAGCTGGAGAGCTGAGGGACAGAACCCAGGCCCAGAGTTCAGGCCCCACAATCGACCAAAAAAACCCCAAAACAATTTGAATGTAAAATTAAAATTGGTCATATTCAAATTTTTTGAAAGAAACTGATGTTTGTGCCTGTTCCCTATTTGTATGTGTTTACTCAAGGTTTTGAATAGTCTTGGATTATATGTTCAGCACACACAAAATATCTATTTAGCCGGACGCCGGTGGCTTATGCCTGTAATCCTAGCCACTGAGGAGGCTGAGATCTGAGGATCTCGGTTCAAAGCCAGCCCGAGCAGGAAAGATGGTAAGACTCCTATGTCCAGTAAACCACTAGAAAACCGGAAGTGGTGCTGTAGCTCAAGCGGTACAGTGCTTGCCTTGAGCTGAAGAGCTGAGGGACAGCGCCCAGGCCCAGAGTTCAAGCCCCATGACTGACAAAAAAAAAATATTTAGGTCAAGCTGATATTTCCAGTAAACTATACTTGATCCTTAAATTGCATTTCAGCCTTGACATTAACTGAAATAAGAACTCAAAACTACCCTCCAGATTTAAAAGTAACAATTCCTAAATATATAAAGTGTGAACTTGTATATAACATTTACTACTAAACCCCAAGTAGCCTTTCCACAGAAATCCTGCCCTAATTAAGGCCAAATGTTCTCCTACCCTTCCTACGAGAGAAAGAGGACCACTCTGTTATTAGGTTTGCTATCTTCAGGCTCTGTAAAAATAACTGTTAGTGAGATCACTTCTCACCTTCTTGGCTAAGGTGAAGGATAATATGCTAGTGTCTTGTCTTCCCCACCCTCTCTTCTTTCAAAGAATCATCATGGTTGTTTTTTGTTTTGTTTTGTTTTGTTTTTTGTCAGTCCTGGGGTTGAACTCTGGGCTCTTCAAGGTGAGTGCTCTACCACTTGAGCCACAGTGCCATTTCTGGTTTTCTGGTGGTTAATTGGAGATAAGAGTCTCACAGACTCTTATCTGCCTGGGCTGGCTTTGAACTGTGATCCTCAGATCTCAGCTGTCTGTGAAGCTAGGATTACTGGCATGAGCCACTGGTGCCTGACTCATCATTTTGAGACTGATAAAACTCTGGATTGTTTCCCCAGATATATATTCTCTGCTGTAAGATTCCCAGGAGGATATAAGAATCTTTATAGTACATGTCTATTTAACATTGGTGATGGAATGGAATGGATACCAAAATGCCAGCCATAACATCTAATCTGATATTGCCATCCTATACTGCCATTAATCTTGGATCAGCCTGTTCTTTTATTGATTTTGAAATTTGTTCAGAATGTGATTTGGTACCTGCTAGTGGTGGTCCAGAAAGGACAGCCATCCCAGCAAAGAAACTGGCAAGTCCCAAGAACGTGTGCACTCTACAATTCTTGGACAGATCAACCTGTAGTGATTAGAATTCAATGTTAGCCATATTGAGGATGAAATCTGTAGAAGCCTAGGGACAAATATTGTTTATGTCATGTCTGAAAATAATGTGACTTCTGGAGTAATTTAAGTTGCTGTTTACACCCTTGTATTAATATACTAAGGAACAGGGCAAATAGGAAACAGGAAAGAGAGACGACCGTGTTTTTTTTCTTTTGTGTGTAATTTATTAGTAGAAGAAGGATAGCTTTTGGTTTGGGTTTTTTTATTCTTTTATGTGGCTTAGGAGTACTTTTTTGCCTCTGAACATCATTAGTCTTTTTTCTTCTTAGAAAGTGGTAGGGTTGGGGCTGGGAAGGTGGCTCAGTGGTAGAGCGCTTGCCTTGCATGCATGAGGCCCTGGGTTCAATTCCTCAGCACCACATAAGCAAAAAGAAAAAAGCCGGAAGTGGTGCTTTGGCTCAAGTGGTAGAGCGCTAGCCTTGAGATGAAGAGCTGAGGGACAGCGCCCAGGCCCAGAGTTCAGGCCCCACGACTGGACCCAAAAAAAAAAAAAAAAGAAAGTGGTAGGGTTTATTGTTTTTTTTTGACTGGCAGTCGGGCTTAAACTTAGCTTGTTGCTTAGCTTTTTCACTCAAGGCTGGTGCTTAAAACATTCCTCCAGTTTCAGCTTTTTGCTTGTTAGTTGGACTTATCTGCCCACTCTGGCTTTGAACCATGATCCTCAAATTTCAGCCTCTGAAGAGTAGCTAGAATTACAGACATGGGCCATGGTACCTGGCTTTTAAAAAATGGTGTTTTATAATCTGAAATGAGAATGATAGTCCTCAGTCCAATTCTGGCTGAGTTAACAACTATGGGTATCACAAAGAATTGATTTCAGTTTTGTAAAGCTAGAATGTTGTTCAAGCCTCATATAGTATTCTGGTGTCCTGCCATACTTAAACTGAAAATAGATCGGATATGTTTCAGCATTTTGAAGATCTAATTCTAAGAGAAGTTGTTCCAGGTTTTTCAAGAACACAGAAACATTCAAAAACACAGAAGCATTTGTGTAAGTAATTCAGTTCCATTTGATTTCTTGTTATTAAAAGAATAATATAAAGGCCGGTATCTGTGCCTTATGCCTATAGTCCTAGCTATTCAGAAGGCTGAGATCTGAGAGTCTTGGTTCAAAGCCAGCCCAGGAAGGAAAGTTTATGAAATTCTTATCTCCAACTAACTACCAGAGAGCTGGAAGTGGAGCTGTGGCTCAAGACACTAGTCTTGAGCAAAAAAGCTTAAATATAGCACCCTGGCCCTGAGTTCAAGCCCCAGGACAAGCACAAGAAACAATGAAGATGTATTCTCTTTGGGGGAGATTACTATTGAAAGTAAAATGTACTAAATAACATAAATGATTGCTTCTACTCACCAGTACAGGAAGTATCAGTGCCAGGTAGCCACCAGTGAAAATTGCGAAGAAGATGGTATAGGTCATAAGTAGTGAAAATGTGGTGGCTAAAGGAGCAAGCAGGTTAGTGATGCCGCAGAGGATGAGGTAAGACTTGTGGTATTCGTACTTTTTGATCCAGTTTTGATCAGCAACCCATCCAGAAATGAGCTGACTGACTGTCTCAATAATGCCTGGAATTAAAAAAAAAAACTACTACTACTACTAATACCTGGAATAATATGAAAAGGTTTTAGGAAATCCCAATTCCATTTTCCTAACTCTTTTTGAAAAGTGTGAATACATAGACAACTTTTCCTTAGGGTATAGACTGGGATTTCCTGTTAGGATTTTTTGTTCCTGTTGCATAACCTTAATCTGATTTTACCTGATTTTGTAGTTAAAGAAAACATAAGGCTGTGTCACTAGATGTTTTTATGAGTACTCCCAAGAGGTTTTTATTTTTACTTATTTGATGTCATCTAGTCCATTTGTGACTATCCTTAAGAGTATTTTCTGTCTTACTATGTTTTCAAGAGGAAATACCAATAATACATTATTAAATGCTTACTCTGGGCCAGTCACTGTACTACGTTCTACATGGGTTACATTTTTAACCCTGAAAACTTTAATGAAGGTAGGTATTGTGCCTGTGCTACAGATGAAGAAATTATAGCACAAAGAAGACAAGTCAGGGTCCATACAGGCAAGAAATACAAAGCGAGAGCCTGAATCCAGGCAGTCAGTCCTTTCAGTCACTACAGTATGCCCTTGATATTTTCTGTTTCCTAGGATAGCTTTTGTCACTGAGCCCAGCTTTTTGAAATTCAGTGTTTATCCAATAATCGATATCTACTATGTGTTAGATATATGAAAATGATCACGATTAATATTTGGATTAACAGGAGTATCTGTACAAGGTAAAAGGGAAATGACTAGTGCTGTGCTAGCCTCAAACATTTTGCTTCTCCTGGCCTTCCCATAACTTCAACAATTTAAGACAATTTAATAAACTGTTATAAAACTAATTTTTTCCTTCTAGGTAGGAAAAATTGATTAAGTTTTCTTACCAGCTACAGAAATGAGGTAAGAGGCATCCATAACGTCGATGTCCAGTGTTTTGGCTCTGGCTACCAGATGAAAGGTAGGGATGAAATATGCTAACTGACTTAGGAGAAAAGACCAGGTAAATATGTAGAAAAAAGGATTCCTGAAGACAGAAGTGTCAAAGAGTTCTTGTTTGTAGCACCAAGAAATAGTCTTTTTCTTATAACCTCCTTCATTACTCAGGGACAGTCTGTTCCTGTTAGGTCCACTGTTGAACTCTTCTTCACTTTGATCTTGTGAGACAATTAAAGTTGTATTGGGTTGTCCGGCTTTCTGCATAGTACTGTCCTTGACAGAAGACTCTTGGGTCTCATTGCAGCATGCTGTTTCTGTCTCGCATGATACCTCTGAACCACTTGCAGACAAATCTTTATCTTTAATATTAGAATTCTCGCATTTGATATGGATAGGTCTTAACAGCATACTAGAAGGCACCAAATTCAATGTGATAGCCCCAAATAACATAAGAGCACCTAAATAAAAGAAATTGAGAAGTTGAAAATAAGCATTCAGTGCACAATAGTTTGTATTCATAAATTCAGAAGAGATCCTACTATATAATTAGTAACTTTTTTTACCCTCAGTATTGGGGTTTGAACTCTGCCTCCAAGCTTGTGAAGCAGGTACTCTACAGCCAAATCACACCTCTAGCCCTGTAGGCTAAATTCTTGAAAATACTAAGAATTGAAACTGTTAACTTGTCGGCTATATATATTGCTGTGTCCCTGTAAAAATGGGAGTCCTTTAGAGGTAGACAATGAGAAAACTACACCACTAGGTGTACGGTCGAAGAAGTTCATTTTTGCTCAAGAGGAAAAAAGAACAAAATATGCTTTCGAGGGGTAAGGGTTGTATTTCAAATGTTAGAAAATTATGTATTCTAGGTTGGGTATTGGTGGCTCATGCCTATAATCCTAGCTACTCAGGAGGCTATGATCTGAGTATCATGGTTTGAAGCCAGCTCAGGCAGGACAGTCCATGAGATTTTACCAAAAACTAGAAGTGGTGCTGTGGCTCAAAGTGCAAAAAGCTCAGGGACAGTGCCCAGGCCCTGAGTCCAAGCTCCATGACTGACAAGAAAGAAAGAAAGAAAGAAAAGTATGTTATGTGCTCTAAATAGGAGTTTACAAGCGATAGTATAGATTTGAAAACAAAATATGGAATTAGATAACAAGAATCATTTAGTAACAGCTTTAGAAGGGGAAAATACCCTTTTCATTCGTTTTATCTGACATTTAATTTTTTTCCCCTGAAAAAGACAGGTTCTGGTCTTGCCTTTGAAGCTGAATAGTTGCTTGATTTCATCAGTTGCTCAATTTTTTTTTTTCAGATCAAAGCTCTGATTTGAGTATAATGCTTTTAGCAAGACAACAGGCTGTATAGGCTTTATCCATGATACAGATTTGTCAGCTGTTCCTATGAACAATGACACTGTTGGATGGGTTTCTGTTTTGAAAAGGAGAACCAATAGGACTGCTATGAACATAGATACAGGCACATGAGTACATATACATGTACATAAGTCTTTTCCAGTAATTATGATTATTTTAACCCAAATGTTAGATACAAAGAAAATAATAAAAGTGCTTTTTGTTTAAATTCACAGTGGTTGTATGGAAATAGTAGTTAATATATAAATGACTTAAAGAACAGTCTTTTACAGAATATTTTTTCCTCTTTCATCTATTTGATAAAGCCTTGTGGGAGAGTTTTTTTTATTTTAATGTGGATTTTTTTTTCTTTAAAAGAAAGTATGAAAGGTAAATGCTTGGTGAGGAAAGGAGGAGGAAGAGGGGAGACTTTTTTCTCCAGGGATGTCACTGTCACTAAAACATTGTTTCCAATGTTTAGAGTACTCTCCCATTGCCTCGTCTTCCAAATTTTGGTAGCTTTCATGAGGTGACAGCCTGCTGATGACATCTACATCTTCTGTCATGAAATTTTTTCCAAGGAAGATGAACATGTGTCCTTTAGACATGTGTCCTCATTTCTTCTCTGGAAATATATTTTCATTTTTTTTATTTTGTTTTTTTCTAATACTGGGAATTAAACCTAGGGCCTTGTGTACATTAAGTCTTGCAGAGTCAACAGTTTAGAGAGTTAGACTCACTCACCTGTCCAGTCATAGAGATCTATCAGGAATTTCGTGACGGGTGCCAACAGAAAAGTCAGTCCCATCCCTGAACGGGCAATAGCTGTAGCAAGAGCCAATCGCTTTTTGAAGTATTTGGTGATTACCACAGCAGCTACTTGGTATAAAAAAGCAGATCCTAAACCTTAAAAAATAAAAAGTTTGGAATTACTATTACATTTGGTGATTTTTGTATAAGAAGCCAATTATTGGCATTTGGGATCAAACACCAGTAGTAGGGAAAGTTCCTGCTTCATTTTTTTGTAGTGTTCTATTAACAATGGACTCACCAGGTAAAAGTCCCATAGTCACACAAAGAAAGGGAATGCCTGTGGCCCAGCGACTGATCAGGTAGCCACCAGAAATAAGGGAAGTCCCAAGAACAGAGGTTGTTTTTTCTCCAAGTATGTCACAAATGATGGCAGCCAACGGACCTTAAGAAAGAAAAAGGAAATGCTAGGTTAATGGCATCCCGGTATCATAATGAGTGGGAGGGAGGAGGTAACACAAAAGCACTTTGGAGTATTGTATCTTTTGCTTTTTGCTTTTTGAGGGGGAAATTGAAAATGCATTGTAAATGTAATTATTCCAGTAGACTGTGACTGCTATAAACTGTATCATCTATCACCATATTCTACCACTGACTAAAACTAGAAGAGAAGAAATTGGTTCTGGGTTTTGTTTTGTAGATGACACTAGTACTTAATGGCTAGACTTCTAGGTTGAGGTCCTGACTCATTGGACCTTTATTATGTGCATTTTGTCATTCATTACCTGACTGGAAAGAAACAAGGCATGAAATGTGAATAACAGAATAGTTGGATTCTTCAACTTTGACCCCTAATTTCTCAACATACTGATCAAGTCAAGTGGAGGCCAAACTTCATTTCCTTACTTTTCTCAGCACAAAATACTGAAGGTTAGTAATGATTCAGTCTTAGAAGACTCAGAGGGTCGTTCTCCATGGAGAGCAAGTTTGAGGCAACTTTTGTACCTGCACAAAAACGAAGTGATGACATGATAGATCCAATCCAACCAATTTGCTCCGAGGTGCCTTCAAATTCTTCTTGAAAGACCACAAAGAAAATTGCAAATGTCTTGGTCATCCCCATCACAAACACATTTACCTAAATCAAAGGAGAATAGAGTCCATGTCTGGTGGCAAGCAATCAAGTGTAGAGGAGACTGCAGCTGCTGGAGGTTCTGTTGCTCTAATACTTACAGTTTGTTTTATTGGTTGTTCCTCATTACAGTACATAGCTTATCTGGGGGTGTGTGTTGGGGGGAGGGTCATTTCTTTTTAGATTGGCAAATCACATTGCATGAAAAAGTCTTACTTAATCCTCATTTCAAGGTTATAAAATAGATATATCAGTTTGAAGTTTGGAGAGAAAAAAAAGTTTCCAAGGATGGTATTAAAGCTGAGATTTGTGTCAACTAGAGTCTACTGACCCTTCCCCCCTCCCCCATATTCATCAAAAAAGGAAGAATTGGGCATCTCAGTTCTTAGGTTAGCTTTGATTTACATCTTTGCTTCTAAGCTGAATAACATCTTTCACTTGGTGTACAGAGTGACCATATAATTGATCATCTAAATTAGGACATTTTTGAGAATGAGTGCTTAGTTATGCCAGGATAGCAAAGGGTTGACTGTCTTACTGGCTTAGTTCTGTGGTCCAACCTTTTCTTTCTCTGTTCTATCTAGCACTCCTTGCCTGTCCCTCTCTTCCTTCCATTAGACTTGCTCCTTTTGAAGTCATTTTTCTTTCTAAGAATTAGTAACTTTGAACAGTTTTTCTTCTTTTTCTATTCCCCTTTTTCCTGCTTCCTACTTAACAGATAAACTCTCTGAAGTGGGAGCCCAAATGAATATCTAGCCAGGGTCTTCATTCCCTCAAAGCCATGTGCTACATTATGCCACTGTCTTCATGAAATTGCTTGCTTCCTTGTTTCAGTAGTCTTGGCTTTTCCAGACCCCTTCTCTCTTTTCCACCTGTCAAGCATTGCTTGAGAATCACAGGATCCTGGGTTCCCTTTTGCTCTGCCTACCTGGTAGAATTTTCCTTCCGTAATTCTGCCCTCTGTTCACCTAAAACTCCCTGGATAGTCATGCACCCTTAAGGTTTTAATTACCACCTGTGTACTTGTATAGTAATGGGTATGGATTTAGAATCAAATCAGCCTTCGCTTGCTAGAACCTTGGCTCTTCTCATGAGTGTAACTTGGGACACTGGGCCAACTATTTTGTCAAGGTTAAGATTCCTCTTTTTCTTTTTTTTGTGAATAAACAATGTAAATATGAACACAGCAGGGATATGAGAATCAAGATTTTAAAGTGGCAAAGCAAAGACTAATGAAGGGAGGGAGTGATGAATGTGGGGGGGGGAAGAGAGAGAGAGACATAAGAACAGTGGCCTGATCTGGGTGGTACAAGAGTCTAGTATTTCTCGGCTGGAGGTAATATTTAATCAGCATTACTCAGAGGCTGGGAAAGCTAGGGTGGAAAAAGCTGTGAGCCTACCTCACATGACTAGCAAGCATGACACTAGGGAGTTTAAACAGTAATTGACCTATTTAAAGAAAATGAGTGCAGAAAGTAAGTGTCCTCTTTCTGTAAATGGGTGTTCTTTGCTTGACATGTACGGGATGCTGACTTCTTTCTTAGCCACAAGTTTGGCTAGCAAGTGGTTCTCGGTTCAGAATATTTTATTTATCCTTGATATCTGGATGTCCAATAACTTGTCTAATATCTTCCGCTGAGTATGTGGCAGGCCTAGGGTACTGAAAATGCATCTATCTTTTTCTCTTCCCTTAAAGTCATTCTATTTAGTTTTTATTTTGACCAAGGATAGTAAAAACCTCTCCTTATGTCTGTTTTCCATTTACTAAGCAGACTACATACGTCTATATCTATATGCTTATTCCTATTCCTTGAACCATGTTTGGCAGGTTTTAGTCCTGTTACCAAAGTCCACCTCTGACAGTGTAAATGGCTCACCCATAAATAGAAATTATTGATTCCCTATTTTTCCTTTAATTTTTTTCTCTCTTTTTTTTTTCTGTTGTTGGTTGTATGGCTTGAAATCGGGGCCTGGGTGGTGTCCCTAAGCGATTTTGCTCAGGGCTAGGGTTCCACAACTTGGAGCCACAGCACCCTTCTGGTTTCCTGGAGATTAAGCATCTCATGGACTTTCCTGCAGAGGCAGGCTTTGAACCACAAATCCCAGTCTCCTGAATAGCTAGGATTATAGACGTGAGCCACCAGTGGCTGACCCTTACTTCTTTTATTTTTTAAGAACTGTTAAATGGGTTGAAACTAGAAAGTAGAAAGTAAGCCTTAAGCATGCCTTCCCTACTCTCCCAGTAAGGTCCTTTACCAGGCAATTCTAATTGACTTGGAAGAGCAGGTGTTACCAATCTTCCCAGCCCTTTTTAAAAATTAGAGTACTAGACTTTTTTTTTCTTTTTTTGGGGGGTCCGGTCGTGGGGCCTGAACTCTGAGCCTGGGCACTGTCCCTCAGCTCTTCAGCTCAAGGCTAGCGCTCTACCACTTGAGCCACAGCTTTGGCAGTTACTATTAAAAGTTTATACTACTCTTCCCCACTGCCATATTGCCCAGCTCATCCAGACCTCCAAAGACAAATATATTTTTTAAAAAGTCTGTTAGGTACATCTATATCCTCTCATCCTAGTGCTCCACTGAAAACAGAAGTCTACTAGCTTTAGTCCCCACACTTAGGCTCTTAAGATTATCAGAGACTTCTTTGTTGCTAAGTCAATGGACTATTGTCCTTTTTATCATAATTGGCCACAGCAACATTGCACATCATTTTCTACTGACAGTTTCTGGGTTATCACTGCTTTGCTTCTGTTTCTGCTTATTCCTGAGCTCATTCCCAAGGTTTTCCCCTCACCCCTCTTCACCCACTCCTGCTGATTTTGCCTATGTTGTATCAAAGTTCAAACTACTGTGTCAAAGACACAAATTTAGGTGTAGCTGTACTTCAGGGGCTCGGATGCCAAACATTTCTTTTATACATTCTTCAGATTCAATGTCTAAGATTAAACTATGCAAGTTTTCAAGTTTTCCTCCTTCCTGTGATCTCCAGTGTTCAAGCCAGCAACCCAGGACTCCTTGATTCCCATTCTATGACATCTATATCTTTTGTTTTTTTAGTTTCTCTGTCTGTCTGTCTCTCTTTCTCTCTCTCTCTCTCATCTCTGTCTCTCTCCTCTCTCCTCTGTCTTTTTGGTTGGTCCTGAAGGCTGAACTCGGCCTGGGCGCTGTCCCTCAGCTCTTCAGCTCAAGGCTAGCACCCTACCACTTGAGTCACAGCACCACTCCAGGCTTTTTTTCTGTTTATGTGGTGCTGAAGAATCAAACCCAGGCCTCACGCATGTGAGGCAAGCACTCTACCATGGAGCCAACTTCCCAGCCCATTTTTTTTTAGTTCTCCTTTTTGATGTGCTCAGATCTGTATTTTTTCTCTTCATCATTGCTGTTATTGCCTTCATTTAGGACCTTCTGTTCTTACTCCTTTCAGTTGTTCTTCCTGTGTTCAGGCATAATTCTGTAATCTATTATCCATGCAGCAGCCTGAGCTGAAATTTCTGAAATGTATGTCTGATTCCATCATTCCTTTAACTTTTTCTTATCAGCACTTTATAACCTCAAGATAGTAGCCAGCATTCTGAATGTGACTGATAAGGCTCCTGCTCATCTCTAATTTCATTTTCCATTTTTTTGTTTATTTGTACATCTTATTCATTTTATCCACATCAAGTATTTCCTGAGTGCCTGCTGACATATGCTATGGTGTACAGTAGTGAGCACACAGGTTATAATGATTTCCTCACTTGGGGGGCACTTTCTGAAGCAGTTTTTTATTTACCTTTTCAGGACTCCTCTGTTACAGCAAAGTAACTTATAAACATATAAAAACATAGTTCTCAGCAGGCACTGGTGGCTCATGCCTATAATCTAGCTACTCACGAGATTGAGATCTAAGGACTGTGATTCAAAGCCAGCCTGGGCAGGAAAGCCCAAGAGACTCTTCAATTAACCACAGTGGCTGAAGTGGTAGAGTACTGGCCTTGAGCACAAAAGCTCAGGGATAGTACCTAAGCCCAGAGTTAAAGCCCCTGCACTGACCAAAACACACACACACACACACTCCTCTAAGGATCCACATTGCCAATATGAACAGTAAATGAGCTACTGGGTTCATTAACATTGTGGTAGGATTTTTGTGCAGCACTACACTTCTAAAATGGGACCTAACTTATTAATCTGGTTGTAAGGCACGGTTTCTCATAAGCAACTTAACTAGGGAAGTAACTGCCTATCCACAGAGTGTAATGGGAAAAGATGGTTCCTGGGGAAAAAAGTGGGAAAGAAAGTGACCCTTGCCAACAGTGCCTACTCTCCAAAGCATGCTTTTAGGAGGTGACCCAGCCAAGAAGGACTCAGATTTAGGATATCCTTAGATTCATATTAGTAACGTGGGAGTGGGCTGAGGGTTCCACATTGTATGGAAATGAAGCCAGTGTACAATAAATAGGGCTCTGGAGTTTTATAATACATCTTCACTGGAGACTGCTGTTTCCCCTTTGTGTCACTCAGAAGAGGCATGATGTATTCTTTAGGTTTATAGAGCTGGTTGTCCACAAGGTGGACTGCATATACTAACCAAGACTGTGCTTGTTGTAGCACCAAGAAAGAAAGGGTGGTTTTGTGAGTGTATCTCTTAAATTTATACAATGTTGGTAGAAATGAGTTACAGAGTTGGCACTACTCTGTAGGGTTGAGGCACAACTGTGCTCAGATTACCAACATTCCAGAATGTTCAAAGTAGTGGCACACATCACTGTTGTCTCATAGCAACTCTACAAGCCTCTGGGGACGGTGAGAACAAGAAGTTAACTAAGAAGAAGGCATCTGGGGGCCAGTGGTGTGTGTACACAGGAGGCCGAGGTAAATCTGAGGGTTGAGATTTGGAGCCATCTTGGGCAGACAAACCCTTAAGACTTAATTGAATTAACCAGAAAAGCTGGAACTGGAGGCATGGCTCAAGTGATAGAAGGTCAACTTTGAGTGAAAAAAAGCCAGAGTCCAAGGCCCTGAGTTCAGGCATTAGTAGACAGCAGGCTGAACAAAGGAAATATTCCCATCTACTCTCAGTAAAGGGGACTGCCAACCTTAGTGTTAGGTATTTTGCTGGGCCAGCTAGGTACTTTTTAGCATTGCCCAGTGCTACTTGTGGGATGGCTAAAAGTATGGTTGTCTCCAAATCCCAATTGCCTTGCTGCCGTGAAACAGCTGCTGATCAAGATGAGCAATCAGAGGGCTTAGGGGTGTAGAGAGGAAGATGGAGGACTAGCTGGAGACACTTCTGCTTTCACTCGAGGGTATTTCAGCTTTCTCCCGGGCTCATTGTGGGCCCTGACTGGCAGTTATGGGTAGTTCCTGGCTCTTACATGCCAAGGATTTCCTAAGTGATGGCTTCTCTAAGCCTTTCTACAGACAACCCATGCAGTTGGAAAGGTGAAAACAAATGCTTACCAGGAAAAAATGAAGCACAACCATCCATCCCCATCCTCCATCTGGGGTTCTAGTGTAAAGCCAGACTTTCCCTTTCCTCTTCAGCATGATGATTCTGTATTAAGTCCAGAGCTCTATAACAGTGAAAACAGTTGGTTCAGTCAACAAGAAACTGATTAAAACTTTCTTTTTTGTCTCATGTAAAATCACTTGCTTTGTAATTTTTTTTATCCTGTAGTTACATCTGAAAGCAGCCTGAAGTGCCAAATATTCATTTGCTCTGAACTCCCTGACAGTAGAGTGAGTTGCCATTCTTCCACCTATACTCAGACCTGGGAAATTCCCAAGGGTTGTAAGCCACCCTTCAGGCCTTGACTCCAGAGAAGTATAAAGTGAAGGGTGTTTTAGGTTAAGGATGTAACCCAGGCCTGGGCATTTTCCTTGAGCTCTACCACTTGAGCCACGGCTCCACTGCTTTTTGATGGTTAATTGTACATGAGACTTCCCTGCCTTGGCTGGCTTTGAATTTTGATCCTCAGTTCTCAGCCTCTTGAGTGGCCAGGATTAAAGGCATGAACTAGGCCACCAGGGCCTGGTCTGGTAAATTGTTTAAAGGAACCGAATAGATATGACAGCAAAATGAAATTATCAGCCCTTTGAATGAGCCCTGGATCAGAAAAAGAAGTTGGAGAGGCCACATGGGGAAACTTGAATAAAAGTTCAATCTGTGCTACTATGGTGGTCTTAGAGTTCTTCAGGAAATTATTGTTCCTAGGATCAAAGTATCTACTCTGTGGCACCTTTACATAGAGTTCGTTCAGTGAGAAAATATATATGACGTGACAGTAAAAAGAACATGTAGGGGGCTGGGAATGTGGCCTTGTAGTAGAGTGCTTACCTAGCTTGCACAAAGCCCTGGGTTCGATTCTTCAGTACCACAGAAACAGAAAAGGTCAGAAGTGGACTTTGTGTCTCAAGTGATAAAGAGTGCTAGCTTTGAGCAAAAGAAGCTCAGGGACAGGGCCCTGAGTTCAAGAGCCAAGACTGGCAAAAAAAAAAAAAAAAGCATGTAGCTGGGTCTCCGATGGCTCATACCTGTAATTTTAGCTACTCAGGAGGCTGAGATCTGAGTATTTGAAACCAGCTCAGGAAGGGCTGTGAGATTTATCTCCAAAAACCAGAAAACGCCAGAAGTAGAACTGTGGCTCAGGTTCTAGCCTTGAGCAAAAGGGAATTTAGGGACATCACCCAGATGAACTGTGATCCCCAGATAGCAACCTCCTGAGTAGTTAGGATTACAGGCATACAAGCATGAGCCCGGGTGCCCAGCCTTGTAATTTTTTTTTTTTTGTCAGTTGTGGGGCTTGAACTCTGGGCCTGGGCACTGTCCCTGAGCTCTTCAGCTCAAGGCAAGCTCTCTTCCAATTGAGCCACAGTGCCACTTCCGGTTTTCTGGCAGTTAATTAGAGATAAGTCTCAACGGACTTTCCTTGCCCAGGCTAGCTTTGAACTGTGATCCTCAGATCTCAGCCTCCTGAGTAGCTAGGATTACAGGCATGAGCCACCAGCACCTGGCTATGTACATGTTTTAAGTGAAGGGTGCAGCATTCATTTCGGTGGGCTGCTTCTGGAAAGGACAGCCAGCCAGCAGCATGTATGACAGATTAGGAGAAAAGCCAGTCAGCCAAGACCCGGTAGAAAACCATCCCAACATGATCCCATTTCTACCTTACCTTTGTTATGTTGTTCAGCAAAATCCTCTAAAGACAGGGCAAGTTTGGAGAAAAAATAAATTGTAATATCTCACAGAATGTTACTCTGTTGAAGACATTTCATTCTGCTGTGGTGAAAACAAGTAAGCTTTGTAGAGCTGGGCAGGGCAGAACTAGTTTAGGCCCTCCTACCAGTGGACTTTACTTCCTGAGGGAGGAGGAAAGTCTGTAATTTGAGAGCTTTTTAGCCAGACCAAAACTTACTCTGAAGGTAGACTCACCAGAGGGTCAAAAGCAGTTGTCTGAGTAAATCAAAGGGAAAATCTTGTTGATGACTGTTCTCAAGGTTGGGAGATGGGGCTTAAAACTAAATACTTGTCTGGAATTCCACGTCCTTTTTTTTTTTTCTTTTTAAATAAATGTGTAACTTTCAGAGGTGTACCCAGGCAATCTTAAGTTTAACGTATTTGTAAAGTCTGTTCATTGAAGATTCTAAGTACTATTTTTGACTTTGAGATCTCATTTTAAGTGCCTTTTTGATTGTTACCTTCAAGTACCTCCCACGAAAGGATGCATATTTGTGGTAGTTTTAATGAAATACTTTTTCATTGCCCTTTGAAAAGATTAACATTGAGTCTCACCAAAAAGTAATTCAACTGTATTTCCTTCCTTTGCTCCACCCTCTACATAAAAAAGTCTACAGGAAATTGCCTTTCATCTCCCCATACCAGCAATCCAGATTCCTAAATTCCCAGATTCCAGATTCCTAAAGTAAGTTTACTTTAGGCCAAAGAGTGTTTCTCTTCTTTTATCTGGAAACCCTGCACATTCTTGAATGTTCCCCTTTAAAAATAAGGGGCATCTCAGTCTCTCAAAGCAAAACTAATACTTCTGATTAAAGTGCTTAGGCAAAAGTGCAGGAACTCTTAGTAGTTTGGGAAGGATGCTCAGTAAGTAACCTTGGAAAGATTGCAATTATGTGGGTGCTGGTAGTAAGGATCAAATAAACATTCAACAGAAAGGAAATGTTTTCAGAGAGCTCTTTGTTAATTATGTACGCCAGAAAACATTTTTAGTCAACATCTGTAGGATTGTTTTTAGTTTTTTTCGTGGCACACTTGTTACTCTTTCAGAGCCAGGCTGTCTGATTCTAACCACTGAGCCTGAGCTTTATAGCTCTGTATTGGGAATCTGAGACCATGTTTGAAATGTGGCAGGAGTCATTAAGAGACTAAGAAGGCTTCAAAATCCTCAGAAATGTGTGTGTGCGTGCATGCACACATGTGCATGCCTGTACTAGTGCCTCAATTCTCACTCAACTTTTTCCCCCTTGACTTTTTGGTTCTTTTGGTACATAATTGGAGATTATACCCAAGGATTTATCTGGCAGGGCTGGCTTTGAACTATGATCCTCAGATCTCAGCCTATGGAATAGCCTATGGAATAGGAGTGAGCCGCAGGTGTATGGCTAGACATATCTTTTATATAAGTCTATGAAGAGGAAGCTTTGAGTTGTATTGTTAAATGTAGACTTGGTTAGAATATTTACTTTGTGTGTGTGTGGGGGGGGAGCAGTACCAGAATTTAGGGCCAGAGTACTTTAAGTTTTAGTCTTAAGGCTGGTGTTCTGCCACTTGAGCCAGAACCCCGTTTGTAGTATTAGAGATATGAGTCTCAAGGGTTTGTCTTCCTCTGTGGCTTCAAACTATGAAGCTATGATTACAGGTATGAGCTACTGGTGCCCTGTTAACTTTTGCCATTTTGAAGCCTCAGACTGGGCGAGTCATCCTCCTGAGTGTTTCCAAAATGGCTAATAATATTTTGTAAGGTGTTTTTGAGGATTACAATGTGCATATAAGATAAACTGCACATTTATAGGATTGCTGTTGATACCGGGTTCATTAAAAGTAATTCTTGCTGGCATCAGAGAACTTAAAATTACATAGTTCCTTCCATTCCTTAAATGATGAATAGATCACTGTACCTGTAGTATGTAAACAATGTAGTTTATGTTGAACATACTTCTGGAAGTCTGAAAGTTTGATAGGTGCTAGTAGAAAGTGCTTAGGTGACTGGTACATAACACGTTTGTTGTTGAATATTACCATCAGAATGCCTGTGAGAAATTTGGCCTACCCAAAACCAAACCCAGTCACTTTCCCCCCTCTGTAATCCTGCCCTCTGAGTGCTTTTTAAGAAACATTGCACAAAGGTGCAATGTCTATGTGTATCTCTGATCATATAACGTAATATTTATCTAAATGAATTCCAGGAAATGGACACGAGGTTTATTCTGTTGCTGTTTTTATTTGTTCATTTGTCTTTGGGAAGGTAAGGAGGGGCACAGAAATGGAGGCACAAAGGATGAACAAATGCAGCAGTGGTACTTACTAGATACTATGTTGAAAATGAACTATTCAATTTGAGGGTGGGAATGCCAGGGAAAAACTGGGACAGGGAGGGAAAGTGACATGTTGAAAAAGAAATGTACTCTTTACCTGATTCATGAAACTAACCCCTCTGAACATCACCTTTGTAACCATAAATTACAACAAACAAACAAACAAAAACCACTAGTTCATCAATAACCTAGACTAGCTGGGTGCTGGTGGCTCACACCTGTAATCCTAGCTACTCCAGAGGCTGAGGTCTGAGGATCAGGGTTCAAAGCCAGTCTGGCATTAAAGTCCTTAAGACTCTTATCTCCAATTAACCACCAGAAAAAGTGGAAGTGGTGCTGTGGCTCAAGTGGTAGAGTGCTCGCCTTGAGCTGAAGAGCTCAGGGACAGTGCCCAGAGTTCAAGCCCCATGACCAACCAAAAATAAATAGCCCAGACCAGAAAATGCAATCATTGTTGATTCTTCAGTCTGTTTTCTTCCTTGGGGTGAGTGTTGGTCTCATATTTGGTTCTGAGCTAATTATCTTGTCAAGCCTATTTCTAAAGTGGCCAACAATACATTGCAAGATAGGACTCTTGAGATGAATGTGAGTTGCTTAGTATGTGTCTATCATGTAGCACAGATGTCTCTATAAAGACTGGCTCTTACTATATACATAGGCAAGTTTTTCTTTGGGGAAATAGATGAATCTCATTTGCTTCAAAACCCATTTAAAGAAAAAAAAAAGCCGATTTCCTTGACTTAGCTTCCTGACCAGTTCTCACATCTTACCTACCAAAGCATTTGCTTGTTTGTGCTCACACTTGAACTGGGGCTTGAACTCAGTGCCTCATTCATACATGCCCTCAGCATTTTTGCTCAAGGCCAGCACTTTACAACTTGAGCCACACTTCCACATCTGACTTTTGCTAATTTGAAGCCTTGTAGATCTGTCTGTCTGGGCTGATCTTAAACCTCGGCTCACAGATCTTAGCCTTCTGAGTAGCTAGAATTATGTGAGCCACCAGCACCCAGCTTAAAACATTTGCCTTTTGGTTTATCCACTTGCTAGAAACCCCTTATTCCTTAATGCAAGCATTCTATGTTTGGAGGTCCAATTTATACTACAAAATCCTTTTGTCCTATATGCATATTCATCTACTTAGCAAGTATCCAGTGCCTTCTATGTGCTAAGAAATGTTCTAGTTGCTTGGGATATATCTGTAAATAAGGCAAAAATAAAAATAAGGTGCTCAATTGGGCACCAGTGTGTTGTCTGTAATCCTACTCCTGAGTAGGACTGATGCAAAGCCAGCCTGGGTAGGAAAGTCTGTGAAGCTCTTATCTCCAATAAACTACTCAGAAAAAGCTAGAAGTAGTGTTATGGCTCATGGTAGAGTGTTAGCTTTGAACACAAAGAGGCTCAGGGACAGCACCTAGACCCTGAGTTCAAGCCCTAGGACCGGCAAAACAAAAAACAAAAAAACAAAACTCATGCCCTTAAATACCTGTACACTAGTAGAGATACAGTAAATATATGTCTGGAACATAACATACATAATCATTCTATTAGAGTATAAGCCCAAGGACTGGAATAATGTTTTACTTAAAAATCTTTTTTTTTCGGCTGTGGGGCTTGAACTCTGGGCCTGGGTGCTGTCCCTCAGCTCTTCAGCTCAA